ATATGAGTTTTTGTGATTGTATTTGTTACTTGATACATTTATATACGAGCGTCTTTTGATAGTGCTGATATACAGACACACACACATATGTGTGTATGTTTGTGCGTGTGTGTGTGTGCTAGGTTTATGACTCCATACGACTCGCTGTAGATTGTTGTTAGTTGGGCTTGAGCGTATAAAAAAAAAAGTGTATAAAAGCTTTGCTTTCGTTTTTCGAGCTGTTTAGGTCTTTTTATACTGTGGAGCGCGCGAAAAGGTCGTGCTTTTTTATTCATACTGCAAATAATAGTTCTTAAAAATTGTTATTTATGTGATAATTCGCAAACTTGTAGTTGATATTGTTGACATATCGCAGAAGCAAATGCGAAGTCTATATTTCGTTTGTTTGCCCAAGTCAAATACTGCCTTCCGGTAATGTATATACATACATACCAAGAGATCGTTTTAGAATTATATGAAACCATATCTTCAATATTTTTAGAATTTGAGTAAACAAAAATTGCAAAGCTTGCATAATAAATATAAACATATCTGTAAATTATATAGTACGCCTCGTTAGGTAGAGCCAAATCGCAATATGACAATATTTCAATCCGCTTAACAGTTTTCACTGCAACAGAAGTGCAGTGAGCTACTTTCTTACTGCTCTAGAATTGAGTACTTGCTAATTTTCGCTGACGCTGTAACCTATATATGGAGGTAAATACGTAAATATTTAGTGGGGTAAATAAAAATCTAGGTAGATTTTACATTAACTTACTTTAAGAGAGTTTCGAAAATGCCTGTAAGACTCATCGTTGATTAAATTGTTTTCCTGAATTCACTTCAATTCGCTTTGTTTATTAGTTCTTGAGATCTTCAATTTCCTTTGAGAATTGATTGCCTGTAAATATTGTGGCCTGAATGCCTATTGACAGTATGACTCTCAATTAACACAATGAAGATATATTAGCATTTGCATATACCACTGAGTATTTGCATCTGTGTGTGCATGTACATGTATGTGTGGTTAACACATGCAGAAAGTTGTTGAACTGAAGTTCTTAACAAAGTGAATTACAACTGTAAATGAAAGCAATTAAGCGAATTCGAACAAACGCTCATACGACCCATGCCCATAGAGTATGCAATGCATGTACTTAGATCATTTTAAATTTTATTTGTAAGTTTTGATTTAGTTGAACCAATATTTATTCAAATTGTTAGTTATTATTTATTAAAAACTTTAATTGTATTATGTATTTTATGATCTTGTTTTTATATATAATAAAAATTTGATACCGGCTCAAAATTTTACAAATTCTTTTAAAATGAAGTTCAGTTTTTTGCCAAATGGTGTTCTAAAATCGAAGTAGGGTAGAGCACAGTAGAAACCCCTTCAACAGCTCAAGAGTGTTTTTAAAGCCATTTTGTAATCTTTTCTGAAAGTTCATTACAAATTACTTCTTATTTTTTGCACATATTATTAAAACCGCATTACATTTTATATAAGTTAGTCATTGACGTGTTGCCATTCCTCTTTCCTTTCAGCTGTTGATAACAGAACATGGTAATGGAACAACTTAATTTGCAACTGCTTTAGGACTACAAAAAAAGAAAAACAAACAAAATATGTTTTATCGTTTTCGTTATTTGCGGCAAGTGCTTGTTCTTGCATTGTTCAGTAAGTTGTTGGCCTTGTTGAATTCTTTCATTAACTTTCAACAAAGTCAAATGCCAAAAATATAACTGTCTTGTTACTCATTTCAGTTACAATTGGACTATCAGGAGTAACAGCCAATGATGTACTGACAGTTGACACTCACGACTTGACAGTGTTGGTAAATGGCAACAAGACCTTTTTTGTCCTTATCAGGTGAGTTTAGACTCTCAAGCTGGGAGTAGATAGACCTTATCAATTCGGAGTAAAGGTGAGTTTAGACTCTTAAACTGGGAGTATATACATATATCTACTCTGTATTCTTCTTCTTCTGAATTCGGCGTAAAGTGGCTGGATAGACTTTTATCATTATCAAGAACTTAAATCTTTCCTGAATATATTCGCAATTCATATAAATATCACATATAACATTAATTGTATATTGTGTATTCAACTGCAAATGTTGTTTATAATTTATTATTTAGTACTTTAGACATTCATTATATTTTTACTACTTTCAAGTGACTTGCAGAAAGAATATAGAAAGTTACTATAGAAATATAGACTCCAGTTATTTGTATTAGTTTTTTTTTTTCAAAGTGAGTTAAAACGATTAAAAAGTTAAATAAATTAATGGCTTAATATAATTTCTTGTGACAGTTTAAGTACTTTTAAAAGTCCTTAATGCAATAAGCAACAAGTCGAACGTGACCGACTGCATGATGCCCGTTCAAGGGTGTTATAGAGTAATTTATAGGGCCTACCTCTGAAACTCTAGAGCAAACATTTTTAGCCAATTTAATTTATTACTGATTTTTGATTTCTCAGTACTTCAAGTTTACTTTTCCAGCATTAATTTCATCTTTAAAACTCCACAGCAACCAGTTAACTGAAGATATCGATGTGACTTTGATCAAACAACATGAGAATCATCTGGATCTGCACCCCGAATCCTTCTCCTGTCGCAAGGGCATAACAGCCGAACAAAGAGTTGTTGTCAGGGGTCTAGCGGCGGGTCATGTGGAGGTGACGGCAAAGAGCAACTCCAAGGATGAATCACTGTATGTGAATCGATCTCATATACATACATATGAATATATACAGATGTATATAAATATAATGTTTAATATATTTGATCCCTTGCAGCACTGATGATGTGTTTGTTCGGGTCCTTGTGGCCAAGTCGGAGGCCATAATCTATTCTTCCATTGTCTTTGGCTGGATATATTTTGTGGCCTGGTCCGTGTCGTTTTATCCACAGATCTGGACCAACTACCGACGCAAGTCGGTAGAGGGCCTAAACTTTGATTTCATAACACTGAACATTGTTGGATTCACATTGTACAGCATGTTCAATTGTGGACTCTTCTTTATCAAAGGCGTGCAAGACGAATATAGCGAACGGCATCCGCGCGGCGTCAATCCGGTATTGCTGAATGATGTCGTCTTCTCACTGCACGCCATGTTCGCCACATGCATCACGATCGTGCAATGTTTCAGATATGAGGTAATCATCGGTAAGACTGAGCTATCTCTCTATATATATTTATCTCTTTTATATTATAGCGTGGACAGCAACGTGTATCGAAAGTCGCCTATGGCCTGCTGTCAATATTTGCGCTTATTGTGATCATATCAGCGGGACTTGCTGGAGGATCTGTCATACACTGGCTCGATTTCCTATACTATTGCAGGTATCGTAGAGCTACGCCTATCCATTTTTTTTTGGTTTACTAATATGCTCCACTGATTTATTTAGTTATATCAAATTGGCGATTACGATTATTAAATACATTCCACAAGCGCTAATGAACTATAGGAGAAAAAGTACAGAAGGCTGGTACGTTCGATAATATTAAGAGATTCAACTGCTATGCATGAATATATCCATTTATTTTGTAGGAGTATTGGCAACATTTTATTGGATTTTACTGGAGGTACACTGAGTATGCTGCAAATGTTGTTGAATGCCCATAACTATGGTAAATTGTTAGGAATAGTCAGTTTAGAATAGTCAACTTAAAATTTCTTGTATTTTCTTCATAGACGATTGGGCTTCAATATTTGGTGATCCAACCAAGTTTGGTCTTGGCCTATTTTCAGTGCTCTTTGACATATTTTTCATTCTTCAACATTATGTGTTTTATAGGTAAATATGAATTTAAAACAATACCTATGAATATAGTATATAACACCATTAAGAACCTGTTATATGAAATAAGGAAACCATACATATGTATGCATTGCATACATGTATGTATTGTAAACACAAATATATTTTCGTTCTTTGCAGGCATTCGAACAAACGTACAGAAACAGTCTCTGATTTGACAACAGACACTGTGGCCCCGAATGATGATACAACAATAAAACAGGGTTAAGCATAAGTAATCATAATGTTGTTAACTGTTAAAGGGTTAAGATTGTGTTAAACTTGTTATATTTTTTTCTAAGTTATTGTTTTTTCACTAATTATATACTGCAAGTGTATATAAATAAACTTAAATACATTTTGAAATCATATTTGTTGACTTCTCTTCTTTATAAAGTTAACCACGAACACATAAGAGTTAATGCATTCAAATTTAACTGAATTCTATTTAAATATCGATCGGAAGGCTTTTAATGAAACAATACAATATATCGATAGGCAACGGCAAGCGATAGTTGCAGATCAGCTGTGCGTTGCGCCACACTGTGACTGACGATATGTAAGAAGAAGAAGTTTGTTAACTTGGTGCGGCTGACAATAATAAATACAATTGATATAGGCACATAAATGATAACATTTATTGCGAAAGTGTAAATAAATTGTATTTGCAATGTCTCGACAGAAGAAAAGGTATTACATAATCGCCATTAGCGAATTGGCGTCACACAAGCTGTTGCAATGCCATACGCGCTGTTTGTGTGTGTGTGTGCGTGTTTGTTTTTGTGTTTGTTAGAATTCGTTTACATTTACAGGCCTGTCGCGTACATTGTGGAGGAGCTGGATACCTTTGATGCAGCTGGCTCCTCACCGCAGGAGAGCATCAACATTGGAAATGCCATAGACGATATGTAAGCCAACATTTATATTTATTAATAATTATCAGAATTAAACGACAGGCAGCATTCAATTCAGTGCTGCAAAGCATGCCAAATAATCGTTAGAGATAACATACTTTATTTTGGATATTTATACAATAATAACGAATATTTTAAAATGTATACATATTTACAGCCCCATTGAGCCGATGGCTTTTCTGCAAGGTCTAAACGTAAGTGCATAGAAACAGTTGAATTTGATTGTAAATAATTTGTATTTATTGTACATTTGCAGTCGGGCAATTTGATGCAATTCAGCCAGGTAAATATTTGACTACTTGAACCGCTGGGAGAGATCGGATTGGACGAGTATAAGCGTAAAACTGGCTACAGCTGAGAGCACACTAGTCATGAGAGAAATATCCATTTCGAACAACCCCATGGGCTTGATTTTATATTTGATTGTATTGATTTGAAGGGCGAATGCGTGAACACTTTGTCGAAATCGCCAATCGGCATTTTGTAAATTGATCTCTTGCAGAGAGGAGCCCGTGGTTCGAATTACAAGTAGGATGTCATTGCTCACATAAGTCAGTAGGGCTATTTCCAAAATTGATATAGTTAGAAAAACTAAATTGATGAGTGCACCAAATCCATCGAATTGCTTGCCTCCAATGACAGACTCGGCTATGCCATAGTATTGATTAAAAACTCCAACCGTAATGCCGAGCAGATGACAAATCAACGATAGAATTATCGAGAGCGACATTAGAGCCATATACTCGGTACTCTTTACGCATATAATCTTGTACTTGATTGCCAGGTCATCAAGCTCATCCGCTAAGGTGCAGTACCTCTGTATGCAGTAGTATTTCGAATAGTGCTCTCTATTTATCGGCATTTGCATAGAATTCACCTGGTCGACAACCATTTTCAGCCTATCATTGACGGCTTCGGCGATGTTCTTCGCTATGATCATGGCACCAAAGTAGCAATTGTTTAAAAAGTTTGATATAATCATTGGAAACAACTTGTAGAGAGTCCAGGTCCAATGGGCATCCGGTTCATTTCGCCTCTGTTGCATGACCAAGGCAATCTCCAGAACTAGCGGAAATCCCAGTACTTTAATTAACGCCAACATTACGGACTTCCTTATCGCTCCACTCTCGATATGCAGCTCGTTCAATGTCTGAAATAAGGGAACTGTGCTCATCATTTCGCCAGCCGTTTTGCTCATTATCATTTGGGTGAAAAAGTTAATAGTCGCCACCGTGATATTCATATAGCTATATAGCTTGACAGCATCCCGTAGATTGAGATCCGAGTTCATATAATCCTTGTATATCTGTCTTACGTAAATGCTCGTAAATATCGCTGTCACCATCATGGCATACGCCAATATTTTCTTCGAAAAGACGAAACGCTGTCGGCCCCGCAACGTAAACCGATTGGCAAACAGTCCAAAGCACGTTAACATAATGATGAGGATAATGAGCAAAGCATGTACCAGTTTACCTTTGCCATGAATCGGCTGACGCGATAGACGTATGCCCAGAAAGCCCATAGCCGTTTAAAAGGTCGATTCAGACTAAACTTTGCAATTCCTTTATCGTTTTGAATTGTGTTTAATATGGTGTAATTGTCTGTTAATACGGGTATCATAGACACATATATGCTCTCAATAGTTCATTCGCTCAAGATATCATATATCAATTAGATATTAAAATTTGGTTATTTGAGTAAAGGATATGAATATGGCTATATAAATAAGGATAACTCTGTAGAAGCAGCTCAACGTCGGTTGCGAGGCATCTGCTAGTCGAGCAGGCCTACACATTCTACATTTTTGGATGTTCCCCAAAATTACTCCAAATATTAATTTCAATCAATCAATATGCTAGACATATGACATAGGTTGACATATCTAGGAATCGCTTAATATTAATTACTTGGAGAGGACGTTGCCACAATTTAATGTAGCCCGCTGTCTGCTCATGCAAGACCTTAATATTTATGTCTGTTAAGATATATACTTTAAATAAATATAAATTCAACTTTTCAGCAATCCATTTTGCGAGAAATGATGCTGCAGGATATCAAGACACAGATAAACTCCTTGCCCAAGCTGGAGGATCACAACGATGGAGACTATAATTTCAGCATGGTGCTGGAGGAGCCGCCCAAGTCGCACTGGATGTATTCGGAGCCATTGAACAAGTTGTACATACGCATGAACAAAACGTTCAATATTGATGCCAAGTTCAAAATCAAAATGCCAATTCAACCGTTGAATTTGCGTGCGTTTCTGTGCTTCGTCAAGGATGTCAGTGGACCAGTGCTGCGCTGTCAGAATCACCTGAGCACAGATCCCAGTGAGTCCATATAGAGAAGCAGCCTCATTTATTTGACTCCGTTTCTCATTTTCCTGCAGTTGTGGATGATCAGAGTAAGCGGGAAAGCTTGCTGCGCTGTGAGAATCCGAATACAAAGTATTGCGGCACGGCTGATGGCAAAAGCATTGGCGAAAGGTACTCTGTGCTTGTGCCCCTGAACATGAGTCGTCCCAGCCAACACAGCGGCGGGTGCGTGCGCCAGACGTTGGTATTCAGTTTTTCGTGTCAGAATTCGTGTTTTGGCCGCAAAGAAACATGCTTAGTGTTTTGCTTGGAGAACAACAAGTGAGTAATATTCTATTTGCAAAAGTCGATTTATGCTCATCTGAGTTGTCTTTGCAGTGGCGATATACTCGGTCAGCAGATCTTGCTGTTGAAGATTTGCACGTGCCCGAAACGCGATCGCAACCTGGATGAGCGGCAGCTAGAGAAAAACAAGATCAAGTCATTGTCAGCTGCTTCGGAAGATGATGAAGTCGATGGGCCAGAGGCCAAAAGAAAGTATCGTCGCACAATGACCCAGGACATTAAAGAGGAAATCGAGAGCAACGACAGCAACGATATGCCATCAGTGCCTTCTGACTGGCAGGTCTCGCGCACCGTGGACGGCGACTATCGCTTGGTCATCAAGTGTGAGCAGAAGGATACGCTATTGCAGAGCATCGAGGGCCTTATAGAGAAGGCGGCCGTTGCCTCGCTACGAAACCCACAAAGTTCAAAGCTGCGTCAGCATGTGAATAATTTGCTGAATTTAAAAAGTAACTATTCCATGAATTTAATCTCTTCCTCAATTAATATTTATTTTTTTACTTGACTTACAGAATGTGCTCAAAAGTTGCCTTAATGCGGAATATTGACAGTACAATAATTAGTATTACTGCATTGGAATTAAGTTTTAAAGTGTTTAAGTGTTACAATTATCATTCCTAAGGAAATGTTGGAAACCACAATATTTACATATTGACAATACAAACTTTGTTTTGTATGGAACGAATTTGGCATACAAATAATTTTTTTTTTTTTCGATATTTAAGACATATATATATTTAGTTTGTATTCATAAATACCTCTATCATACCGTGTTTATATATGTGTATATGGTACTGTTATAATGTGTATACAAGTATACATGTGTAATTTAGTCTAATAGATCTGAAGACTAAATATTTTTTGACTGTTTTTATAAATTTAATAAATGATATACAAAGATTTATTGAATATTATTTTTAAAGACTGCAAAGAAAAATTGGTTTCTCTATAATAATTTATGTGATTAACATTTGAGTCTTATACACCTTCAATGTGATCATCCTAAGATGAACTATATCTATATCTACATCATAGTAAGTATCTGTCTTAAATAAAGTTCTACTTGGCTTAAATATAGCGAACATCTACTATATGTCTGCCTATTTAGTCAAAAATAACTGTTAATTGTACATTATTCATTTTTTTATCCCGCCTCGCTCTTCATGCTCTGCCAAAGAACATGTGCGAAAAGTCAGAGATCAGCGAGCAGATGTTTCGAAATATTTGTTGTCTCTCGTCTGGCTTTAGCCATATGCCGTTTTAAATCAATAAGTAAGTGCATTATATTTATAATGCAAACTATATTTATATCATTTCAATATTTGACTCGCTTATTGGAATTTTAACGGCTTTCTCTTTGCCAGCTCGAGAGCCAACGCCATTGCCATTGCCATCGAAAGGTTGGCAGACCTGTTTGCCATACGAAATGTTTGAGTGAATTCCACGAAAAAACCAACTCAAACTTTTACTCGAAGGTGAAACAAGTAAGCGATAAGCTAAGGGCGTACGAGTATATTTAAATATATATTTATTATGCATATAGGTATATACATATATGGAGACATTATATATTTTTGTATGAAGTACCAAAAAAGTTATTGTAGATCATCAGAACTATCAAGAATAATTAAAGTAGCAGCATCTTCTATTTATACCCTGTACATATGAAAATGGGCTTAAATGTGTTTTCATAAAGAGTTGACTTAGGAAGCTTTTATGTCTAAAATGCATCGCTCTTGGCACATTTAATCGTTAGAGACTTGAAACCACGTATAACATACACATCTATCTATAATTACTATCGAATAAAAAACAACAAACCCATTCACTGAGGGAAGAGGGAAGGGAAAGCACTTGTCTGCATACCTATACATATATGAGATTGCTTAAAGACTCATTTATTCATTTATTTCATTCATTTTGTGGTACTTTATAGTTAAACATTCCCAATCAGGAAACATCTATTCACTTATCTGAACTTTATAGTTATAGAACTAAACGAATATTCATGGATTGGTATATATAAAAGTTTTCTGTTCATGGATATACGAATATATACCCTACCAATGTGTATCTATAAAACAATCGATTTATATAACTCAAAATCTATTCATACATAAAGGGTATACGCTAGTCGAGCACTCTCGCTCCGTTGAGCTTTCGTTAACTACTTATGTTCAATGCTCGTGAAGTCGAACTCAAGACATCAGGTGAAACTGCCTACACATGCAGTACGCTCCCTCTCGCTCTCACTCTCTCTCTCTCGTATTCCCTCTCTCTTTTTGCATCTCTCTTTCCATTAACCAATTCCATCAATTCCACTCAACAGAAAAAAGCCAAAGCCAAGCACCTATTGCTGCTGTAAGCGACTGGCATTGGGAGAGAGGAGAGCCGACTTGCTGTCGGCTTGATACACCAAACAAGATAACTCGACGACAACGATATACATGTACGTACGTACGTGTGTATGTATGTGAATGTGAAAAAGTTGTCAGAGAGCGATCTGCAGTTTGTGTGGAAGAGTACGAAAAGTTGAGCGCATTGTTTTTAGTTTTATTTCATATTGCTAGCTCAACGCACGTGCGATTACATTAACGCTAACGGATAAAATAAATAAGACAATATATATATAAATTAAAAAGTAAATAAAACATTTTGCCGCTTTTATGCAACTGCATAAACATGGTCGAAACAGCTACCACAACCACAATCACGCGCACCACATCGAGTGCAGCGCCCAACTCGCATGCTGCTCCATCGGCCACGCCCTCGCCCACCGCGGCCCAGGCGCAGCGGAACGACGAGACAACGCGTCTCATTTACAATCTGAAGATTATTGCCTTCCTCTGCCTGCTGCCGTTCGTGCTGTTCGCCGTGTTCCTCAAACACCTGCTGGACTACCTGTTCGCCCTGGGCCAGAAGGAGAAGGACGTTAGCGGCAAGGTGGCTCTGGTAAGCGCAGGTGGGCGGGCATTTAGTTAGCATCGCCCAGGTGTTTGGCGTCCTATTCGTGTGCTCAAAATGCCAAAAAGAGCTTATTAAGCTGTCGCACGCTGGCTAACGAGCATATTGGCTCTGATGCCAGATTTCGCTTGTCTCGAGACTTGAAATGAACTCGCGCCTAGACTGAGTCCGACTGTCTGACTGTCTGTCAGTGGTAAGACGCCCACTGTAGGCGTGGCGGCGTGGGAACTTTTGCCTCGACTGAAGCTACATGCATGCAATGTAGATGATATATAGTCTTATATGCCTCTATAAAAAATCAAATTTATCAAGAACTAAGCTACATTTTGAGATATGACAAATTGTACAACTTTTACAGTTAGACTGAGCTACTGTTGACCTACTCCAAAGATTATATACTAACAAGTGAGCTCATCTATAATCTATAACAATCATATACACATCTTCAACTGATATTTACTGCCCCCTCAGCACGCCCTTGACATCTTCTGCTGTTTAACAAGCTATCTCACCCATCTCACCTTGAGCGTGCATTGTGCAGTCAGCTAAGCCTGCCTTCATGCCGCAACTCACATTGCAGTAAATGGTTTCTTAATACTTCATATGAAATGCACAAATGTTTGTATGGATAAATTAATTAGAGTAACGGCACATGTAGTGCTCATCTACTAGAGTTACCCCTGTCAGCCCTGTCATGCGGCTCAGCACAAATGGGTGTGGCTCGATTGCGTTGCTTTCGTTTTGTTCTCTAAAACGAAACAAAGTATTTTAGCTGTGCGTACCTTAAATAGCCAACGAGTGTATATACAGATGTATGAATGATGTCAATCCATAGTTGGCGGCTGCCGCTCTTGGATGAGTTTTGAATAGCAAATGAGTCTCTATATGGCATCGCTCG